GGCACCGACAACCTTGCGGCCGCAGCTCTGGTAAGCCGCCTCGACAATAGAGGCACGAAACATGGTCCACTCAGACTCAATGTCCCCCACCTCCCTTGGAACATGTTCAAAGTTCTCCCGGAGGTGGGAGTTGAAACTCCGTCTCACAGGAGACTCTGCCAGACGTTCCCAGCAAACCCTCACAATACGTTTGGGCCTACCAGGTCTGACCGGCATCCTCCCCCACCATCGGAGCCAACTCACTACCAGGTAGTGATCAGTTGACAGCTCTGCCCCTCTCTTCACCCGAGTGTCCAAGACATGTGGCCGCAGATCAGATGAGACGATGACAAAGTCGATCATCGAACTGCGGCCTAGGGTGTCCTGGTGCCAAGAGCACATATGGACACCCTTATGCTTGAACAAGGTGTTCGTTATTGACAATCCATGACGAGCACAGAAGTCCAACAACAGAACACCACTCTGGTTCAGATCAGGGAGGCCGTTCCTCCCAACCACACCCCTCCAGGTCTCACTGTCATTGCCCACATGAGCATTGAAGTCCCCCAGCAGAACAAGGGAGTCCCCAGAAGGTGCACTTTCCAGTACCCCCTCTAAGGACTCCAGAAAGGGTGGATAATCTGAACTGCCGTTTGGTGCATAAGCACAAACGACAGTCAGAACCTGTCCCCCCACACGTAGGCGGAGAGAGGCCACCCTCTCATTCACCGGGGTGAACCCCAATACACAGGCACCAAGTTGGGGGGCAATTAGTACGCCCACGCCTGCTCGGCGCCTCTCACCAGGGGCAACTCCAGAGTGGAAGAGTGTCCAGCCCCTCTCAAGGAAACTGGTTCCAGAGCCCGAGCCATGCGTAGAGGTGAGTCCGACTATTTCTAGCCGGAACCTCTCAGCCTCACACACCAGCTCAGGCTCCTTCCCCACCAGTGAGGCGAAGGCACCTTTCACCTAAAAATACAACTAATAAAATTGGGATAGCGTTCATAGTACCACAATTTCATATTAAAGTAGGAAAAAGGGTTAGTGATGGAGTATCGGTTTATACAGGAGAAATGCTCGCTTTACTTTTAGCAGTTCAGTGGGTAGAAGAGGTAAGACCATTAAAATCAATCATCTGCTCAGATTCCAGTTCATCATTGTCCAGTTTGCAACACAACCAGTCAGACAGTAGACCAGATATATTAATTGAAATACAACAAACACTCTATAGGATCAACATGATGAGGATTACAGTAAACTTTATATGGGTTCCAGCACATCACGGGGTTATGGGGAATGAAAAGGCAGACAGGATGGCTAAGGAGAGCACTAGTCGGGATGTGGTTGATATTAATGTTGGGTTTAGTATAACAGAAATAAAGGGTATAATAAAACAAAAAATGAAAGAAAAGTGGCAAAAATTATGGGAGGAAGAAAGGAAAGGCCAGTGGTTTTATAAAATCCAAAGGAAAATTGGAGAAAGGAGAAGAACAGAAAGAAACAGGAGGGAAGAAACAATTATTTCACGACTCAGAATTGTGCACACTGGGCTGAACAGCACGTCATAGGGAAACATCAGACAAGGAAATGTGAGTGTGGAGAAGAGGAAACTATAGAACACATTATTTTGCATTGCAGGAGATATCATGTTCAAAGAAACAAGTTGATTAGACATCTTAGTAAAATGAAAATGAAATTAGATATTGTTGATTTATTGCAGAAAGATTCAGGAAACAGGCTATCAGGCTATATTTTATTCTTTAAACAGTGTAGGTTGTATAATAAGATATAAAAGAAAAGAGATTTTTTTTTTTTTGTCATGTGGTCCACGCTCATTACCAGTTAGTGGCGGTAATGCCGCCTTCAGTTGTTTGCCAATCGCCAATAAAACAACAAGAAGAAGAAGATTGGCTCTGCCCTGCTACTCACAAGCTGCAAGAGGTGTTGGTGAATGGAAAGAAAAACAGAATCTCCATAAAAGGATTTTGAGGTCTTCAAATCTCATCTAATCTGGGTCCAAAACCTCCTACAAATTGGGACAGCAAGGTTCTGTTATGGGTCAGATCAACGCCTCTGGCAAAAGCCTGTTTGCACTTTTATGATGGCAGCATTAAGATTTTAGGGCAACATATGCTGCCTTAAAAATCCTGTGACATCAATGTTTTGTAATAGGCCTAAATGTAAATGCATTTTTGGAAATATTACATGAATAACATATTGCAAAAAATAATAATTTCACACCACGGAGATGAACAGCATTCATCTCAGCGGTGAACCAATGTTCATCAGGGGAACGCCTGCATGTAAACATATCATTTGCTACAATGACAGATGAAGAAGAGCCAGAGATTTAAATAATATTGTTTCAATAAAAAAGACCAGGGAGTACCTTCTTTTAGTGGCACTTCATGTTTTACTTTGGCTAAGTTCAGAAGGAAATAAGCCTGTCACGTGACAAAATGGGAAAAATTGTGTGTATTATGCTAAATTACTTATATGTTAAGATGTTTTCTTCCTTTTTTTTCTTTTTACCCCCTTTTTTTTTCGTTTTTCTTTTTTTTTTTCCTTTTTTTTTCTGATCTAGTATGACTGTGCAGCTACCCATCCAGGCTGTCATACTGTAAAGTTTGCAGATGATACAGAGATGGTGGGATGCATCACAAACAATGAGTCCAGCTACAGGCAGGAGGTGGGAGAGCTGGTGCAAAGAGAGTAACCTTCACATCAATGTGAAGAAGACAAAGGAGATGGTCATGGACTCCAGATGGAATAAAACCCACCTACCCACCCCCAACCCCAAATACAGGAGGATCTGCAGTGGAAGTGGTCTCCATCTATAAGTATTTGGTGTAAGCTGGGGCAACAACACCACCAGAAGAAAGAATATGAACAGAAGAAAGTTCATCAGAGACTACTTCCTCAGGCGGCTGAGACGAGCTGGTCTGGGAAGCTCAGTCCTCACCTCCTTCTACAGGTGTGCAGTGGGGAGCACCCTGTGCTCCAGCATCAATGTGTGGCATGGAGGCTGCACAGCTGCAGAAAGAAAAGCTTTGCAAAGAGTGGTAAAGGCTACACAGAAGATGTTGGAGTCAGCCTCCCCACCATCACAGACATCTACACCTCCAGATGAAGGAAGAGGGCCACCTGCATCATGAAGGACCCCACTCACCCAGCACACACACATTTTGTCCCACTCCCCTCAGGAAGGAGGCTGAGGAGGATTAAGTGTACTTTGTAGAACCACTAGACTGAGGAACAGCTTCTACCCTGAGGCTGTTAGACTCATGAAATTGCTGCTGATCTGTTTCATGTTGCTGTGTTCATTCGTGCTCATCTGTTCACACAGACTCATGTTCGTGCTGCTGTTCGGCGTATTGTGTTTATTGTTTTTATTACTATTACTATTATACTATTAGTGCTTAGCATATTTTTAACCAATATTTTTCTTAGTTCATATCTTTGATCTTATTACTGTTTTTCTTTTACATTTTATTGTTGGATGTAACTGGGACCCTGTGAACATAATTTTGTTCCACCACATGTACGATATGTGGTGCGAAAGACAATAAAGAATCTCTGAATAAATGACACTTAAACTCAACATGACCACCCTAAAATTCCATCTGCACAATGTTTCAGAGGGTTTTTTTGCCCACCGCCGAAAGGCACAGTCGAACAATAATGTTTTTGTCTATTACCATTGTCTTGTTTGTCTCTATGTGTCCCTGTGATGGACTGGAGTCCTGTCCAGGGTGTACCACCTCTAGCACAGTGATAGCTGTGCTGGAGGCAAGATACATGATAGCTGGACATGGTCACCAGTGACCCCAAGACCAGAAAAGAAGAATGTACTGTAAATGGACTGTACTTATATAGCGCCTTTCTATCTTATTTCAAGACACTCAAAGCTCTTTACAACAATCTGTGCGTGATTTACCCATTCATACAGCGCTCTACTAGACCTCTACAAAGCTAATTGAACAAATCATTCTAAAGAGACTAATCAGAGCTTTGTCACATTCATACACTGATGGGACACACATCAGAGTCTATGAGGGGTTCATTTTCTTGCCCAGGGACACTTTGGCATGTGACTACTGGTGGACTCAGCCACAGCCGCCCCCAAGAAGTGGGTAAAAGATGATGGATGGATGTGTGGGTGGGTGGATGATTGGGTGGATGGATGGATGGATGGATGGATGGATGGATGGATGGATGGATGG